AGGCCTCTTTCCCTGGTTTGCAGACGGCCACCTTCCCTCTGTATCTTCAAGTGGCTTTTCTTCTGTGTACTTGGAGGAAGAGAGAGATCTCTGCTGCCTCTTTCTCCTTTTTATAAGGACACCAATCATACGGACTGAGGCAGTGCTCTTATGACATGATTTAACCTTAATTGCCTCTCTTACATCCCTATCCCCAAGTACAGGGGGTTAAGACTTTAACGTCTGAATTTTGGCACAATTCAGTCCATGGCACTGTGGATCGGTCCAAGATTTCTGGAGAGATCTTTTGCAGAGGGTTAAAAAGAATACATGTGTTGATGGTGGTACTATATTCCATAGTAAAACTTAGAAATAGGCAAATATCTAACAAAGCAGAATGGAAAAAGCAGGTAAAGGCTCAGAGAACAAATGGGCTTAGGGCTACTCAAATGGTAGCAGGGTGGTGGGTTAATTGGTAAATGTTTTTAATTATTAATTTTTTATGTTACATAATATTGCTTTTGCAGCAATAATCATGCAAATACCTATAGAAAAGTTGATCAAGGGACTTAAACTTTTTCACCCCTTGGAGTAAGTGAAAGCTAGCAAATGCTCTGTCAGCATGTTTTGGTGCACTGTAGAAAACAATCAGGAGGGGACCAACAGGGCACCGAAAGGGGGGAGGGACCCCACTGCAGCAGGAGCATCAGCAAAAGCCCAGAAAAGGACAGCTTGGGAAAAACCTGGCACACCCCCCACTTTTCTGATTTAGCCCGCTGTGGGTTCTGCTGCACAGCCTGTGATGACCCAAATCATTTCCTGGATTCTGCCTTCAGAACTGAGCTGAGCCCTTGTGTGATGCTGCCGCAGTGCCTCCAAACAGATGGGAAGGAAGCATAATTGAAGAAATAATCCCCTGTGATGGCCGCCCTCCCCGCCCCCGATATTAGAGCAAACATTCCCATAGGTATAAGATGATGAATGAGAGCTTCTTTTGTCTGGTTTCGTTACTGCCCTCATAACTATTCTTTTAGTTTTTTACCTGGAAGAATTGCCCCCAGCTGAAGTAATAGGTGGAGTAGACCCTTGATTTAGATTGTAGGTCTTGAAGTGCTCAGGAACCCAAAGCATGTGGCCCATACCCATTTTAGGACAGATTGTTATGGCGGTGAGCCTGCTGTAACCTTCATTGGCAAAGCAGAGTCCAGTGCTACTATCTGGGCCAAATGTATTTATAGGATCGAGTCTCCAATCTCTCATTACAACCAACTTCCCCTAATCTTTATGGGGAGCCTAAGTGCCGGCACAGCCCCATAACCCTGGGCCACTCAGACCTCCCCACGATGCTGGTCTCCCACCCGACTCCGTCAAGCCGGGTCCTCTGGAGGTTAAGGGAATTTATTTTGAAATGAAATGGCAACTGGAAAAAGCTTTTATTTTCATATGGGAAAAAACCTCATTTTTTCTCCTGATTAGTGTTCACAACAGCAGCCTGGAATGCTTTCTGCAACCAATTTGTAGATGTTCTTATAAAACAGATCCCTCTCCTTGATCTGATTTTTCCCCCCTGCGCATTTGTTCTCCTTAAACCTTTCAGCACATTTGTTAACTTGAATGACATCTAAAAAAAACGCCACCCCATTAATGTGGAGTCATCCCATCCACTGGCTGTGCATCAGTCCTTTAATTGGGATGGCTTGGTTCCCTCCCAGATGTTCCCTTTCAGCAGATACCATTGTGTTTTAAAACTTTGGATAATTATAGCTCTGTAAACCTAGAGAAGATTTGTTGGCTCCAGCCAGCTCCTGCTCCTAATGCAATAGCTTCATTGTTTAGTAATCGCCCTATTCACAAAGCAAAGGGATCTGTGTCGGCAAAGACATCTATTCAAAGCACCTTCTCTGTGCTGGATAAACAGTGGCAGAAGCAGCTACCAAGCGAACCAAAACACTCACAGGGGACTCAGCCACACGTTTGACCAGGGCTGCTTTTCACTTCTCAAATGGGACTGTTCTTCAGAAAATGTCTTCACCTTTTCTTTGGCAACCAATCAGCCTGCAGGCAGAGTCTTTTGCTTTGCTGGTGAAATCCTCGCTAAAAGCTAAAAAAAAAAAAAAAAAAAAAATTGTGGGAAAATTTTGTGGGAAAGTGTCTGCAGCGTAGAAATGAGGCGAAGGGCCTCAGATGAGATGCCGAGCGCTGGGGAGCAGGCCGCACAGGCTCTCCCTAAGGAGGACATGGGAGAGATAAATGTCCCTAAGCTGTCCCCCGACCCCCAGAAAAATTCAGAACAATTTCTGGGAGGGCTGTGGGAGAGAGTCAACAGCGGCCAAACAATGTAGAAAGAGGGAGAGAGGTTCTTAGACTCTTTTGAGGATGTTCGCTGGACTTTAGACCCTGAGGTTCCGAGCCAGTGGGAGCCTGGTGAATGTGGGAGCCCAGATTTTTCTGGCTCTTGCGTACACCTGCTAATGCAGAAGCACACCCTCTCTGAAAAGTCCTCCCTCCTGTGCGGGTGTTTCTGAAACTCCCTGGGAAATCTACTTGGAGGGTAAAGAGCTTGAGCCAAGCCTAACTGATGTGCACTTACATTCGAGGCGGATCTAAGAGCCTAGCGCTGCCTGTCATCATACTGCAGGCTTCAGCAAACCGCGCAGTAGACGCATGCCGCTTTGCTGCCTCCTCATTTCTCCTCGGTCCGGTCCTGACCCTGCAGGCCCCAGCAGTGCAAGCCAGGATCTTGGGAGAGGGCAGAGGTGAACAAGAGAAAAAGCAGAGGGAGATTTTTAAAATAATTGCCATAAGTGATATAAATATAGAGTATCCCATGTGTGTATTAATACATATATATGGGTATATATAAATCATCTGTGTGCACATATATACCTATATAATATATATTTACATGTGTATGTGTGTGTGCATGTATATATGTATTGAAGGGATGACTGCTTTTTTTTTTTTTTTTTGAGATAGTTTTGCTCTCGTTGCCCAGGCTGGAGTGCAATGGTGCGATCTCAGCTCACCGCAAACTCTGCCTCCCAGGTTCAAGCGATTCTCCTGCCCCAACCTCTCAAGCAGCTGGGATTACAGGCATGTGGTACCACACCTGGCTAATTTTGTATTTTTAGTAGAGACAGGATTTCTCCCATATTGGTCGGGCTGGTCTCGAACTCCCGACCTCAGGTGATCTGCCCAACTTGGCCTCCCTAAGTGCTGGAATTACAGGCGTGAGTCACCATGCCCAGATGGGATGACTGCTTTAACATAAAGATTGTTTAGAGGTGAAAATATTTAAAATCTTATCTGAACTTTCCTTATCTGACTAAAGGAGCCTTTCAAAAATACAGCTGCTATTAACCCTGCTCTGAGGGGGTTTCCTGCGAATTCCAGGAAGTAGACAAATTGCCCCTTCCCATTAGCGCCAAAAAAAGCCTCACAGCACCTTACACATTTTCCCATTGAATCCTAAATTCCTGCTGCTCCCTTTTTTGTTATATTGGTATAAATTGAGCATCCTTAATCCAAAATCCAAACTGCTCTAAAAATCAGAAAGTTTTTGAGCACTGACAGGATGCCTCAAGCGGAAAATTCCACACACATATATAGATGGAACACAAACATTGTTTAGGTGCGAAATTCTTTTTAAAACTGTATGAAGTTATCATCAGTCTACGGGTAGGAGATGCATGTAAAACATAAATGAATTTTGTTTAGACATAGGGCCTGAGATTCCCAAGATATCTCGTTACACACATGCAAACATTCCAAAATCTGAAAAAATCCAAAATATGAAACACTTCTAAGTCCCGAGTATTTCAAATTCTGTAAGGGATATTCAGCCTGTATATAAACGTTTACCACTGGGTATTCAGTGGGGTATTCAGTGAGTCACTCATTAGTGACATCAAATGCACGTGTGAGTAAACCTCTTTTCTTCTGCTAATCTGTCTATTGCCAGTTAATTTGAGGCCCCCAAGCATTTGAACCCAAGTGAGTAGACAAAAAGTCTTCCTCCCAATAGTTTATATATATGTGTTTATATATATATATATATATATATATATATATAAACACACACATGCACACACATATGTGTATATTCTGTGGACAGTTCCTACAGGTATAGAGCAGTAAATATTAGGGCCACCTGTCCCCAGGGTACCTTCATCTCCTCCATCCTAACCCGAGTTGCAAACCACCACTCCGAGTGGGTCTCTTTCCATTGGGGTCTGCTTCTGTCGGGTGGGCATCAGCTGTGCCCATCTGGTCTGCTGGGCACTCACATCCTGCAGCTGAGGCCCATGGCCCTCTGGTCTCCAGAGATGCTGAGCTGCCTATAGTTGACAGGAAGGAGGGAGGGAGCCTCTATTTCCTGTGATGTTTTATTGATATATATTTAAAGCTTCAAGCTTGCACACTAATGTTTTCTAGGGCTTTAATGGAACATCACTTCTATTGTTTTGTTTTCTTTTCCTTCCCTTTAAACATCTCCCCTTCTCCCCATGGGGATTACACCTGCATCTGCCAGGGCTACTGGGGAACCATTCCCCATTCAGAGCCTACCAGCTCCCTTAGGTCCCTGCGCTGGTCCTGTTAGTGCTATTTGCCCAGCATCAGAACACTGCCTGGCACCTGGCCCAGGTCCACAACCCCTATCCATAATTCTAAACTTCTCAAACCTCTGAAAACACTAGTTTTTTCATAACCACCTTGGTGGCAAAACATGAAGTGAAGTAAGGCTGCATTTATCCCACTTAGCGTGAATATCCATCTATCTGGCTGAGACAGGACTGCAGAAATACCGTGTTTGATCTGCAAAGTGTTGCCTCCAACCCCTCTAGGGATGTTATATAATATTTGATTTATGCATCACATTGCCTTTCTGAAATCTGAAAATTTCTGAATTGTAAAACACAACTGGCCTCAAGGGCTTCTGATATGTGCTTGTGGGCTTAGGCACATGTCAATAAATATGTGCTGAAGGCATTTCTGAATTTCTCCTTCTTTCCCACCTCCAGGGCTCTGTTACGAGTTCAAGGTGTGTGGCTCCTTCCTGTCTGATAAGAACCATCCCCCAGTCTTGAGACAAACAGGTGTAAGTATCTTTTCCTCATGTATCCCAGGCTTATGGCTTATATCCCTAAACACAAAACAATTAACAAGGGTAAAGCCTACACACTTCTTTAATGTACATTTTATATGACATGGAAACTTCGAAAATGAAGATCCACCCCACCATAAACAGAGAAACCTGTGTATTTTCATGCTCAGGGTTGATGAAAGCATGATTGAACAAAGGGGGTATGATGTCATGGTAATGAATGGGGGGAGAACTTAGCAAGGCCTGTTTGTTCAGATTCTTCCTGGTGTTTCTGTGTCTTCCTTACTTTTCTCTGGGAGTAAAGAGGGCATCTGTCACATGAGGTCTTGTGACCTGCTGCAAGGGAGAAGGGAGAAGGCAAGGTGAAAGTGGCCTTCCTGCTTCTGTTCTTTTCCAAAATGCCAAGGTGCTATATTTTATTGTATTTATTTATTTATTTTGAGACGGAGTTTCGCTCTTGTTGCCCAGGCTGGAGTGCAATGGCATGATCTCGGCTCACCACAACCTCCGCCTCCTGAGTTCAAGCGATTCTCCTACCTCAGCCCCCAGAGTGGCTGGGACTACAGGCATTCGCCACCACGCCAAGCCAATTTTTTTTGCATTTTTAGTAGACATGAGGTTTCTCCATGTTGGTCAGGCTGGTCTTAAACTCCCAACCTCAGGTGATCTGCTTACTTTGGTCTCTCAAAGTGCTGGGATTACAGGCGTGACCCACTGGCCCAAGGTGCTGTATTTTAAGGTAGTGTGTCCTGAACCCCATCACAGGCTTTTGGTAGGCCTGCCCAGGTTCGCTATGACCACAGGGGATGGTCCACACATGAACTAGAGCCAGGTCCCAAGTACACATGGGAATTTCATAAAAAGAAATCCACCCTTAATATCACATTAGGAAAAAATAAGATAGAATATTTTCAAATCTGAGCTGGCATTCAGGTCTAGCGAGTTAGCAGAAAAAAGTTTTTTTGAAGAAATGTGATCTAGTAGCAGTCATTTATAGACATGCTGAATACAGACATTTATCTACAATTCAGTCATACCAAATCTGCTTCAGAAGAGGGTTCTAGAATCCTACTATTATTAATATTTTAATCTCCCTCCCTTTTTCCTCCGCACTCTTCTGCCCAAGGTCCTGAGTCTACTCTCCTCGTGTCCCAAAGGGACGTGGTTAGGTTTATTCTGCAGCTGAAGAGGCTCATGCTTCACAGCCTGTGGCTAACACAAGCCTCTTCCGAGCTCTGCACCTCCTTTTGTGTCTGAATTTATGAGTTCTACTGCTTCTCAAGGACCTCACAGTTATCAAGCTCTAGACCCCATAAAACATGACCGCTCCCCTGGGAGATGACAGGTATTGCTGGTCCCAGAGGGAAACCAGGGGTGTCTCCCTGCAGTCTTTTCTATCCTCAGGGTGGAGCATGTATAAGACAGCTCTTCCTCATGTTAATAATGATGGGTTCCCACGGCATAACTTGAATATTTTGTGCTAAAATACTCCCCACTTCCGGGAATCAGAGGCCAAAAAAAGGGAAAGTCTCTATATCCCTGACATAGGGATTTCACCTCTCATTCATAGAGAAAAATGATGCTCAAAGAGCTTGACAAGTCATTTATCTAAGACGGTGCAGCTGGTAAGAGATCCAGTCAGAAGGGAACCCCACATCCTAAACTCCAAAACGGGTGCTTTTCTTTTATCCTATATTCCTAATTCATCCGAGGCAACCATTTGAAGAAAGAAAGAATCTGGATCCTTCTTTTCAGCGTTAGTCAACTGAACCTGCACTTGAGCCTTGCTGAGTAACCTAACCCTATAGTGCCAACATTTTTAGTGAAAACACATATACCCTTTGGGGAGGCTTTCTCTCCTTTCACTTTGTTTTACACCAATGTGCGTTTCAGCAGGAAAGCAATCCTTATACTTCAGGTGCTGATGTGCTTAAGCCACTTAACACTTTTTGGCTCAATTTTTTAAGAGGGCTTTATGACTTGGAGCCAGAGCAATCCTAATGTGTCTGTGTCACGAACATGCTAATATTTGTGCTAATGGCAGGGTGCAAAATCCAGGGAGGCCAATGACATGGGGCTGAGAGGCAGGGCCTTCTTGTCACCCCTACATGACATAAGGGTTCCAACAAGGTGGGCTTCTAGGTGTTGATCCCGTGGGGAGTGCAATGCAGAGGTGACAAGGAAGACCACTCTATGAGTTTATAGGAGCTGTCATAACAAAGTACCACCAACTGAGAGGCTTAAAAACCAGAAATTTACAGTCTCATAGTTCTGGAGGCTGGAAATCCAAGGTCAAGCCACGCTGCCTCTGAAGGCACCAGGGAAGGATCTAGTGTTCCAGGCTTCCCTCCTGGTTTCTGGTAGTTCCTTGGCTTGTGGCAGCGTGAATCCAACCTTCACATGGTATTTTTCCTCTGTGTGTGTGTCTGTGTCCAAATTTTTCCTTTTGTTTTGATATAGAGTCTCACTCATTGTCACCAATGCTGGAGTGCAGTGGCACGATGTCAGCTTACCACACCTCCGCCTCCCAGTTTCAAGTGATTCTCCTGCCTCAGCCTCCCGAGTAGCTGGAACTATAGGCACATGCCACCACGCCCAGCTAATTTTAATATTTTTAGTAGAGATGGGGTTTTGCCATGTTGGCCAGGATGATCCCGAACTCCTGACCTCAGATGTTCCGTCTGCCTCAATCTCCCAAAGTGCTGGATTACAGGTGTAAGCTACGATGCCCAGCCCCAATTTTTCTCTTTTGATAAGGATACTCAGTCATATTGTATCGGGGGCTCACTCTACTCCAGTATTACCTTGTCTAAACGAATTATTATATCTGCAACAACTGTATTTCCAAATAGAGTCACAACAACTGTATTTCCAGATAGAGTCACATTTTGAGTCACTAGGGTTAGGATTTCAAAACATGAATTTGGATCATGAGAACATAATTCAGCCCATCACAGACCACCCTCTGGATCTTCCTTCTCACATACAAAATGCATTCACCCAAACCCAACACTCCTGAAAGTCTTGATGTATTCTAGTATCGACCCAAAGTTCAAAACCTCATTTAAATATCATCTACATGAGGGGTTCGTGACACTCAGTGTGATTCATTCTGGAGCAACATTCTTCTCTAGCTGTGAGCCTATGAAACCAGACAAGTTTACTTGCAAGACACAAATGTTAGCACAGGTATAAGCCAGACATGCCCATTCCTAAAGGGAGAAATCAGAAAGGAAAGGGGGCTCAAAACTTCCGGGGAGGTTCAAAACCTGCCAGGATAAATTCCATTGGATTTTAAGCTTTGTGAATAATGATTTTTGGCTTGATGCTCTGTCCTCTGAGCTCATTTAAATTATGCAAAATAAAATTAATTTGCTTAAAGTCTACTGCTTTTAAATATTAATCACCTTTAAAAAAACACTTTCACAGCAGCATGTAGACTGGTGCTTGACCAAGCAAATGACACAATAGCCGAGTCTGGTTAACACATAAAATTAACCACTGCAAATACTTCTTGAGAAATTACCAAAATATGTCCAAGATGGGGGAAAGCCAGGAAGAAGCTCTTAGGAGAGAAGGTGAAGACGTGTTCTGGCTGCTTGTCTGGGCTATGTACCCGAGAGGCGGGACTCAGAGGAATCATCACCTGAAGATTGTGCAAAGCATAGTTTTGATCTGCCACAATGGTTTAGATCAGAGGAATGCACAGGAAGAATTTTGTGCTCTTGGTCATGACAGCCAGAGAATTTTCTTTATCATCTAGGGTGGGAAGCAAATGAGGTGACCTGAAAGTCAAGTGAAAATAGCATCAGGAGTAGCCTGAGAGGTACCAGAATATGCCACCTCCAGATACGCCTCTTTGGCATATGGATTATTTTGAGCTCGAGGCCATCAAGAACCAGCAGACTCAGGAAAAGCTCTAAAACCAGGGCATGTGGCTTCCCTTAATAAAGGAAATTTAGGTTTGTAGAGATATCTCCCTCTTCTATACCAGGACAAGGATTACTCTTAACAACTCTTATCAAAGAAGAAGGTACTGATTTAAATCCACAAAACAAAACTTACTAAACAACTCTTGCCTACCGTACTTTTTCTGGTCACCATCCCATAACTTGCCTCTCCCACTCAGAACCCTTTTCCTGTGTTTTGTGTTAAGGTGATATGTAAGCCCAAGTTCTAACCACTTCTTTGGGTTACTCACCTCTGGGTACTTCCATGCGTAATCAGGATGCACATGTTAATAAACTGCTGCTTCCTTTTCTCTTGCTAATCTGTCTTTTGTCAGTCCAATATATAGGACCCCAGCTGGAAAATCTAGAAGAGTAGCAGAAAGAATAATGTTTTTTCCTCCCTTGTAAGCTCTAAAAGACAACTGTCTGATCTAGGGAGAAAGCCCTGTGACCTCCTGAACATGCCTCACCAGACCAATAGTGTATTGTATTTTATTTGTCTGTCTATCTATCTATCTATCTATCTATCTATCTATCTATCTATCATCTATCAAGTGCCATGTGTTGATCTTTTGCAAGGATATCTCCCCAACAAGTAGCACAGGACCTTATGCCTAGCAAGTATTCAAGTAAGAGCTATTGAATGAAAATGTCAGCAGACTGCACCCAGCTTCCTAAAGCTCAGTGGTGACTACAATACACACACACACACACACACACACACACACACACGCACGTGTGTGTGTGTGTATATATGTATATTTTTGAGACAGTCTCACTCTGTCGTCCAGGCTGAAGTGCAGTGGCATGGTCACTACTTCCTGCAGCCTTAATTTCCTAAGCTCAAGTGATCCTCCCACCTCAGTCTCCTGAGTAACTGGGACTACAGGGTAATTTTTTTTTTTTTTAAATTTTTAGTAGAGACGGGGTCTCACTATATTCCCCAAGCTGGTCTCAAACTCCTGAGCCCAAGTGATCCTCCAGTCTTGGCCTCATCTAAGTGCTGAGATTACAGGAGTGAGCTATTGTACTGGTCAACAACAACATTTTATAGCAGGGTGAGGAAGATGCAATTTAGTTTGTGGAGCGCAGTGAACCTATCTCAAAGCCGCATTTGCCAGCGCAGCACACTCTTTCCCTAGATCGTGTGGCTGTTTGCACAAGGCGGATAGCTGAAAAGAGGGAGATATTAAAGCACTCCCAGCCACCCCTTGGCTGCCAGAAAAGCCTGGTGGTTGTGTGATCCTGCGTTAAGATAAAGTGAGTTGGAGGATGCCAGCCGGCTTTCTTCTATTCTCAGTCTATAACCAGAGATCCTAATCTTGACGCAAAGTGGAGATTCACTTCTGGACATGCTTTATTCTAAAGGGCATGCAGCGAGGAGAAAGGGAGGAGCACGTTTTGAGGAGGAGGGAGGCCTCTGAGAGAAATCCCTTCCAGTAGGGTGAGGGCAGCAGCATGTGACCCACTTACAGCCTCCTGGAAGCCTCCTGTTTGTCCGTCTGTCTAGGGCCCAAATTGTGAGCACTGAAGGGAAGGGCATAGAGCAGGCAGCTGGGGTTTGTGACGATATTTCCATGTCAGCGTGTTCGGCACCCACGCACTACGCAACACATACGACACGTGATATTCCTTTCCCTGGTATTGCTAACTTGCAATCTCTGTGGCTCCGGGGCCTCCTGCCTTTGAATAAGTCTTGGGAGAGAAGCAGACGGCAATCGAGCCTCTAGCTCTCCATTGACAAGGAGGCAGTTCCAAACTGGGATTACTGATTTCCATTTCAAAACTGCGTTCAATTTAGTTGATTTAAACGACTTGACTTTCCTCTGTGAAATGACTGCGGCACGTGAGCTCAGCCAGTCGCTCTTTGAAAGGCATCAACACGCTCCCTGCAGGGACCGATGGAGCTCCGCCACCCATTGTTTATCTAAAAACAGCGTTTTATTATTGTCGCTCAATTAGTGCAGACAGCGGACACAAATGACTTTCAACAGCTACATCCTGATGCTGTGTATCACACATAAAATGCCAAAGACTGCTCTAATAGCTAGCTAATAAAATCAAAATGCGCCTTTGTTGACTCCTGATTACTCACATCGTCACTCTTTCTTCCGAAATCTCTTCTTAATCTAATTACAGACAATGTTTCCACTTTAGTAAAAGAACATTAACCTCAGTAATCAACAGTTCTGTCCTCAATTTATTTATGAGCAAGCAACCAAGGTTTTTCTGAACGTAAACTTTGGAGGAGTGTTTATTTTCTATATACAAACTGGCATATTTTTTTCCTCTCAAGGTCAAAATATTATTGCCTATAGGGTTTTTCCCTGCAAGCTTTTCTTCTTCCTAAAAATTGCACAATCTGTCGTTTCATAGGCACCCATGAAAAGTCATTCCTAAGTTTCTCCCTGTTTATACTAACTGCTGTGAAAATGCTATTATACGCAAATATTTCAACTGTTTTGCAAACATGCTTTCATACATGCACACTCACTGCAGAGACAGTTGCCTGAAATAAGAAAGGCCCTTTGAAAAAGAAATGAAGGCTGGGCACGGTGGCTCACCCCTATAATCCCAGCACTTTGGGAGGCCGAGGCAGGTGGATCACGAGATCAAGAGATTGAGACCATCCTGGTCAACATGGTGAAACCCTGTCTCTACTAAAAATATCAAAATTAGCTGGGTATGGTGGCACACCCTGTAGTCCCAGCTACTCGGGAGGCTGAGGCAGGAGAATTGCTTGAGCCTGAGAGGCAGAGGTTGATTGCGCCATTGCACTCCAGCCTGGGTAACAAGAGCGAAACTCTGTCTCAAAAAAAAAAAAAAAAAGAAATGAAATCCATTGAGCCACTCAACACTTGCCATTTTTCAATTCCGTCTTGGAAGCCTGGATGACTTTAACATGTAGAAATTACGTTTTCCAGTGATTGCACTAGAACGTTGTTCTTTGAATGGAAAGATCCTGACCCCCAATTTATACTTCTAATTTAGAGAATGAAGAAGTTGAGGATCAAGAGAAGTGAAGAGATTTAGCTCAGGTTGAGTAACTGCAAGAGTGGCCAGTGAGGGACTGGGACCCAGGTGTTCTGAGAGCTCCTTGGATAGGTGCGTGAGGGAAACACAAAATACAAAAACTGGGCAGTAAAGACTCCTCCTTACGTGTGTCATGAGGCCCAGTTCTGCAGTGAGTGTTCAGTTGTTTAGCTGGACTGAAGCTGCCTTTTGTGGCTGGCCGTCACCTCCCGCCCCATTACCTTCATCTCAAAACACACACAGGCTCTTGGGTCACATAACGTTTCTCAAGTTTTCATTTGAGTTTAAGGTTGGACTACATCCAGGCTAAACATAAAGAAAACCTCAAGGCCAGCCCTCCCCTCCACGTGGCCCCTGCCAAGTTCCCTCTGGGTTTAGCATAGATGGGGAACCAACGTGACCTCACGACTCAAGACTCCAACTCTGGTCAGGCTTGGTCTCGCCTCCTCTCTGGACTCTCTTTGGGGTGAGAAGAAAGGGGGTGATGTTGGCAGTGTGAGAGGAATTCCTCCTTTTACCCAGAAGCAGAGAAATTACATTAAGTCAGGACTGAAGGCCAAAGTCAAGGAACCTGCAATGGGAGAGGTAGGAGACGATGAATGGATGTGCAATTGGGAGGCCAGAGCTCTGTCCTCCAGAGCCCACTTCTTGCCTGTTACCTTCGACTGAGCATCCAGCATTTTATCAGGAGAACCAGAAGCAGGAGGTCATGACCAAAGAAGGGCCTAAGAGTCAAGCAACCTTACCCCTGGTCCACAGCAAAACACATCCGCCACTTAACTAGCTCTAAGCCATTTGGGCACGATTCTTTTTTTAACTAATTAATTAATTTTAGAGACAGAGTCTTGCTCTGACACCCAGGCTGGAGTGCAGTGGTGTGGCCAAAACTCACTATAGCCTGGAACTCCTGGGCTCAAGTGACCATCCCTTCTCAGGCCCTTGAATAGCTAGGACCACAGGCACATGTCACCATGCCTGGCTAACTTTTAAAATTTTTTTGTAGAAACAGGGCTCACTTTGTTGTCTAGGCTGGTCTTGAACTCCTGGCCTCAAGCAATTCTTCCACCTTGGCCTTTCAAAGTGCTGGGAACATGGTGTGAGCCACGGCACCTGGCCAGAGTCACCACAATTTTCTTCTAATTATGTTATCCTTACCTCTCGGTGAAATGGACCACTCTTTGTAAACCACAAAACGTCCTGCCAATGAAAATCCTTATTGCCCCAATCTCTTATTTTCACGGAACGATGATAAGTGCAAGGAAAAATTAAGAAGTATCTAATGTCTGCAAGTGAGTTAAATAAGAGTACTTTGTCAGGAACACAGGGTTATTTTATTAATTACGAGCTGTTACTTAGGGATCATATGCCCTGTGTATGTCTTTAAAAGAATACTTTTTTTTTTTTTTTTTTAAATCATGCTGTTATCCTTCTGGCGCTCAAATTCTTTCAGGTTGGTGACAGTTCGTCAGTTTCTCTTCCTTCGCTGCCTGCCCTCACAAGGTGAAATACCATCCTCAATTTGGGGCTGCCATCTAGCTAGCTGCTTGGCTAGACGATGGGCTTCCTTTATTTCCACTGGCTAACGTCTCAACAGTACTGTGCTCTAGCTTTTAATACCTTCCGCAGGAAGCCACAAGAATGACCCTCAAAATGCGTGGGTCTTTCTGGAACTCTTCACCTTGAATTTTTAAGCCCTCACCCTCTCTTAAGTTCTGGCCTCTCTTGCCTTCTGAAACCACAAGGCAGTTAGAGATTCTAATCTCCCAACAGAAGTCACTTTGGCATCCACAGTCAGATGTCACCTGGGGTCACAGTCGCCTGTATGTGGTGGAAAGTTCTAAGCAGTTGCAGTTGCTTTTGTGATATGCCAGTTGACTTGAAGAGAGAAGTCCAAAACCCAACAGGAAGGTGAGGTTTCTGAGGCATGTTAAAAATACATTTACGTTTGTTTATATGTGAGCCATTATTTTTAGTCTGCGGAAGAGGATTTGACAAGGATCTAGAGGCTCATGGGGTCATGGCATAACTAGAGACATTTGTGTCGGGACAAAAGCAGTCATTTGGGCTCTTCTCTTGGTTATTATCCCACTTTTCTTTCTCCCTACCAGTCCCACAGTTCTGGAGAAGGAGGTAAAACTGAGCCCAGGTCTGCTTCTCTGTGTCGTTTCTCTGTTCCTCTCTAGGCTGGCTGCCACCACCAGGCACGCCGTTCTTGAGCAGCACACAGCTGAGCTGCTGGCTTCAGGAAGCTCTTTCTTGTTGTTAAGTGGCAAGGCTGTGACTTCAGAAGTCTCTGTCCTGTGGTGCTGCGCTCAGCGTGGCCTAGGGTGCTTGGTGGCTAGCAACCATGAGCTCAAGCCTCACCTTTGGGCCACGTGAGCAGGTTGGCTGGACATCTATAAATCGAGATAGTTCCTGCTTCGTTGTGGGATCTCCACCCACTGAGAGGTGGCTAGGAAGTTTAAAAAGACATGCTGGTTCTTTAGAATCTGGTTTTATGCACTCTTTTCAGATGGAATGACTGGGAACGAGGGGAGAAAACGGAAAAGCACAGTGGTGCTCCCCTGTGAATGCAGCATCTGTCTCACCTCCACGCAGTCTAGCAGAGCAGAGGGCATGCGAACCGAAAAATGTAAGGTGAGGTGACAGGAACACCCCAAAGGACCACTGACTGACACTAACTCTGGGACCAATGGCAGGGCCCAGAGCACTGACAAATCAACGGTGACCACACAGCCTTCTGTACTTGTGTCTCATGGATTGTGTCGGTAGAGTTTCTCTTACATTTAAACATACCTGCTCTGTATATGACTGACCCTAAGGTGGTCTTGAACTCCCAGTCTCAAGCAATCCTCCCACCTTGGCCTTTCCAAGTCCTGGGATCATGGGTGTGAGCCACGGCACTGGCCATGGGCACATTCCACAGTTTTCTTCTAATTATGTCATCTTACCTCTTGGTGAAATGGACCACTCTTTGAAAAGCACAAAACGTCCTGCCAGTGAAAATCCTGATTTGCCCCAATTTCTTATTTTCATGGAACGATGATATGCGCAAGGAAGAATTAAGAAGTACCTAATGTCTGCAAGTGAGTTAAAAAAGAGTACTTTGTCAGGAACACAGGGTTATTTTATTAGTTACCAGCTGTTACTTAGGGATCATATGCCCTGTGTATGCCTTTAAAAGAATACTTTTTTTTTTTTTTTTTTTTTTTTTTTTGTCAGGGCAAGCAATGCCCTGACAGCCTAGAGCTATTTGGTACTGTCTTAGTCACTTGGGCTGCCATAACAAAATATCACACACAGGGTGGCTTAAACGAAGAATTTCATTTTCTCACAGTTCTAGAGGCTGAGAAGTCCAAGATCAAGGTGCCAGTCTGATTCCTGGTGAGGGCTCTCTTTCTAATTTGCAGACAGCTGGCTTCTCGCTGTGCCCTCACATGGCCTTTCCTCTGAGTGTGCATGAAAAGAGACAGGGAGAGACATCTCTGGTGTCTTCCTCTGCTTGCAAGTCCACCAGTCCGATTGGATTGGGGGTCCCCCTCTGTGATCCCACTTAACATTAATTACCTCCTAAAGGCCCCATCTCCAAATATAGTCATATTGGGGGGTTAAGAGTTTAACGTATGAATCTGGTAGGGACACAGTTCAGTTCATAGCAAGCCCAGACAAGTATAGCTGACTCAGGCTTGGACCGCTCCTCATACAAGCCCTTTTCTGTTTCTACACACCCAGGTTCAGGTGTGCCCAAGCAGCAGCTGTATCTGTTTATCAGAGGGCTGCCCTAGATCCAGAAATATTTTGACAGTGCAATAATGAAGATTGGCTTCCTTCTAGAAATGACAGTCCTTAACCAGTGAATGACAGGTGAGAGGGAGGGGTAAATACTCCGGTAGCTTCCTTGCCCCCTGGCCAGGACAGCAGTGATAATACGTAGGAAGATCTGGAGAGAGGGTAAGTCACATCTCAGTGTTTCCTTTCCTGGGGCTTTGCTCAATGTTGCTCCCTGTCCCAGCATCCTCCTTTCCTTGTGAGGCCCACTTCTCAGATCCCTAACCAGTTTTTCCTGGGAATATTCCTTAAGCGAATCACTCAGGCTCTGCTTCTGAGGAGTCCAACCTCAAACAACACAAGACCCACGTGGCGGTTATTTGTCCCAACTCCCAGCATCAACCCAGCATCCCCTCAGCTTAGATGATTTCTCAATGTTTTCAAGTTCAGGCTTCCTGGGCCATTTCATAAAGATTCTCAGAGTGAAAGAATTTATAATCCTGTCACAAACACATAATAGGCCACTGTTTTTCCACTCTAAAGAGTCTTTTGGAAGATCCCAGCTCAAAGTCAGTACCAAGGCCCTAAGGGAAATTCTGCTTCCTCAGACTTAATTCAGAACAACCTAGGCCTTGGCCAAAGCTTCCAACCACGACACCCACAAATCACATCGTGTTTCCCTCTCCCTGTAGCCCAGCAAATATCAAAGCCAACTGGGGCTTTATATAGCATTCACCAACTTTGGATAACTTTTCAAAAATAGTTTTAGTTTCTTTCTTATTGTCTCCCCAGTGTCTGATAACTCTGGAAAGAGGCCTGTAGATTGTCACTTGGGGAGTCCAGCAGAAAACCAATCCTGCAACTCCAGAAAGCTGGACAGTGAGCCCACATTTTCCTATACTGGGAGCGGTCAGCTCTCTCCTTCCTCCTGGCCCTGGAAGCCTCAGGACTGACTCCTATTGCTCTGCAGAGTGGGCTGTGTTGGACACAGTGCAAAGAGTAAAACCAATGACTCAAATGGGGAGAACTACAGTTACCCAAGCTTCTCCTGCCTTCTCTTTACATAAACTTCAAGAGCGTCTAGTTTAGGAGAAGCATCCACATTTCATTCAACATGACACGCTCCCTAGGAAACTTTCCACAGTGCCCACATCACTAGAGGCTGGACTTGCTATGATCACCACGGCTCTTGGGCCAACCCTGGAAACACTCTAAAGACACAAGCTTGGCAAGAAGCCTAAAGAGAAATACCCAGAAGTCCTATGGGTTATTGCATCTCAATGCACACTTCTCAGACAAGGACTCGTGGGAAGGCAGACACGACGGGAAAGGAGGTCTCAGGAAAGCTCTCCGAGTCCCAATTCCTAGTCGTAGCTCCCCCTGTTGAAGGTACTGATGGACTTGGAATGGTGGACTGGGACCTGGAATTTCATGTACGGTTCACTTTCTACAAAGGGTGCTTCCCAAGCTTTGTGAAGGAAAGGAGAAGCTATGTGAGAAGGAAATATATGGAAGTGGCGAGAGGAAAGGAGAGGCAGTCAGTAGCAAGGTACGCATTGTCATGTCATGACTTGATTCAAGTTTTGCTGGACAGGCGCTTTAGGGCCTTGTTTTTGCCCTCAGCCCACAGATCCGAGGGCGGCCTAGTGAGGCACAGCCCCCCCACCCCCCACCACAGGAGTGTTTGTTTGGGTTGGAGGAGGAAGTGTTAAATTCCAACCTCAGCACAAATCTTGAAGACTGCCAATCCAGGTGTGGCAAACAACAAAATGTGCTCTTGCTTTCCTTTTCTCTTTCCTTTCTTGCCAATCAGAGTGAATGGATTCTGAGCTTTTACCGGTGTTTAAATTAATTTTTGATGAAAAAATAAAGTTGGGGGTGGGGAGTGGGAGTTAAAATTACAGCCTGCTCTATAAAGGCAGAGTAATTTCTGGAAGGTCATAGCTGCTACTGGCAAGCGTGGCCTGAGTTAGGAACAATGTACTTGCTGTTTCAGGAGCAAATCCAGGCTGGAGAAGGCTCTCTCTGCATAACTCAGGGTTGGATTTAGTTCTGGATTCATGCAGACCTCCCTGACCGCTGACGGACGAGCCAGGGCTGTATGAGCATTGGCCTGCCACTGGCCCAGACTTTATTCTTTAGTCCTGAGGTCACAGCATTTCCATGTGCGCTTACGATTCCGGTGAGACAGGGAGAGTAGGGGAAGAAGCTGGCATGGGCCCTTGGCTCTTTTACTACCTAGGACAGTGCTTGGCATGCCATAGGTGCTCATCGTGTGTATGTTGAGAAAAGAACTTGCCGAAGCAGCCCTATTCTCTATAGTTGTTCACTGAGGAGAGAAAAGCAAGATACAGGGGGGTGCTATTCAATGAGAGAAACATACAAGGATCTCCTTTTTTTTTTTTGAAATGAAGTTTCTCTCTTGTCGCCTAGGCTGGAGCGCAGTGGTGCGATCTCAGCTCACTGTACCCTCTGACTCCCAGGTTCAAGCGATTCTCTTGCTTCAGCCTTCCAAGTAGCTAGGATTACGGGTGCCCGCCACCATGCCCAGCTGATCCTTTTGTGTTTTTAGTAGAGATAGGATTTCACCATGTTGGCCAGGCTGGTCTCGAACTCCTGACCTCAGGTGATCTGCCAAAGTGCTAGGATTGCAGGAGTGAGCCACCAGGCCCAGCCAATAAAAATCTGCTTTATTTCTCTCTTTTCTAAACCTAAAAATTAGATATGCCATTGAGCTTTGTGAGAAAGGGGATGAAAGAAGCATTACTTGAAGCAAGTAATCCATGCTTTATTGCCTCTACTTTAGGGGCAAGAAACCACTTTGGTGTTGTGCCTAAGAACGGGGACCCTGCGGACAGATTGCTTTGGATCAGTGTCCTCCCTCCATTACTTTGTAACCATCAGATCTAGGGCAAGTTACTTCACCTCTCTGTGCCTTGGCTCTTCATTTCTCAACTGATAACATTAACAGAGCCTATGTCCTAGGATTGCTGTGACAATTACATATAAATGAGTCAACATATATATAGCATGCAGAGCAATGCCAGGCACATAGCAAGTGCTATTTATGTTCTTCTTTCCTCCTCCTCCTCTTCCTCCTCCTTTTCTTACTTTGTGCCAGTCTTTGTACCAGACCCTTTATATAGATTGTCTTATTTCGCATACAATAACCCTGTAATGTAAACCCTATTTTATTTATTTTATAATTTAGGGAACTGATTCGAAACAACATTAAGTAATTTGTTTAAGGTCGCGCATCTAGTGAGTGTTGCATACTGTGTTGCTTCCGTCTGTCTGACTTCGAGGCCTGTGCTCCTTGCAAGGTGAGAGGTTTGACATGTTCCCTGCTTGCCATCCTGGTGACATTCTCTCAACCACCAAAGCTTACAGAAACATGCCACTCAGATTAGCTTCCACCGGACACTGACAGAGGAGCAATTACACCTCTGCCAAAGAAAGTTCTGAATGCCAGTAAGGGTTCTGGCTACTGTGGTATACTTAAAGGAAATGAATTCAGGAAGTTTTCATTAAGATTTCAAGGACAAGAAGAGGAAAATATGAAGCAGATGGAATAAATATTCTTCTACTTTGATTGGTAAGGCCAAAATTCCCTTTTGCTATCTCACGAAGATTGAGGTCCTGGGATTCAGGAATAGGATGCTTTGCTATTTGGTATTAAAAAGCAATAGAGCTCCAAATCTATGCAATCAATCCCTCCCATCTTTAGGGAAACCTAAATCTACGCTGCCTAGTATAGAGAGCCACTTGTCCTGTGAGTAAAGCCACTTTTATAAGATTTAACAGAGAACAGGAGCAGGAAAGAGAAAGACCAATGTAAGGCAGTTGCTAGAAGAACAGAATTGCTTTACAGTTCTGACTTCATAACTTCATTTTCCTGACCTGATAATTCTGAGATTAACTTCTCTGGGTGTATCTAGCAACTATTGCTTCTGTGAGGTGGTCACCAGGCCAGGCGACCTTTTAAGTTTAATGTATTAGAGCCAGCTGGGTGTTTGAGCCAGTCTAAGGAGGCTTGTGAATACTTGCAAGCCATGTTTCTTTGCCTGGTGGCTTTTCAGTGCCACCTAAGCGTCTATACAGCTATTGTGTCTGACCTGCCCGGGGGATGGAAACATACAGTTGGAAGAGGAGGCAGTAGCTTTTTTTTTTTTCTCCAGTAGATTTCTAAAACCTTTAAATGAAGTATTGCCTATATACGGAAAAGCGCATAGATCATAAGTATATAGTCCAATGAGCTATCACAAAATGAATGTACCTGGGTAAGTGCCACTCAGGTTAAAGAATAGAGCACTTTCAGCACCCAAGAAACCCACTGAATATTCCCTCCAATTTATCATGCTCTTCCTTCTCTCCAAAGGTTACCACTGTCCTGACTTATAACACCATAGGTTAGCTTTATTTGTATTTGGGCCATATAGAATTAGAATCATACATTATATATTCTTTCAGGTCTGGCTACTTTCACTTACTGTTATATTTGAAAGTTTTATTAGATCTGCATGTAATAGGAATTCATGTATTTTCATAGCTGAATAGTTTTCCATTCTATAAATATACTGTGAGTTATTTACCCATTCAATTGTCCATTTAATGGATATTTGGGTTGTTTAAAATGGGAGGTTATTCTGAATAATGCCGCCCCGAGCATTCTTATACATGCCTTTTGTGTACCTTTCTGTGGGAGTACATACCTGCAAGTGAAACTGCTGAGTCAGAAAGTACGCATAGAGTACTCAACATCAGAGGAGACCTGCCAGAGGGTTTTCCAAAGTGGAAATATGCCAGTTTACACTTCCACCAATAGCGTGTATGTTCAAAATCCTTGCTAACATTTTGTATTGTCAGGCTTTTAAATTATGGTCAATCCAGTAGGTGTTAGTGCATGCATTGTGTTTTTTTTTTTATTTTCCTGAAGACTGATGAAGTTGAGTAACTTTGAAAATGTTAATTGGCAATTTGGCTACCTTTGGTGAAGTGTCTGAGCATGGCATGGGTTATTTGTTTTCCTTATTGATTTGCAGTTTTTGTATATTCTGGACATGCGTGATATGTGTTGCAAATAACTTCTTCCACTATATCAATTGCCTCTTTGGTACTTTAATGGCATTTTGGGGTGAACAGAATGTCTTAACATTAAAGGGCCATAATGTATCTTTTCCTTTCTGATAGGACATGTTGTGATGATTTAAAAATCTTCTTAACCTAAGATCATGAAGATATTCTCCCATGTTAACTTCTAGAACAGGATTTGGCAAACTATGGACTGTGATCCAAATCCATTCTGCCAACTGTTTTTATAAATAAAGTTTTATTGGGATAGAGTCATGCTCATTCATTTACACATCACCCATGATACTTTTGTGCTACAACAGACCTTATGGCACACAAAGCCCAGAATGTTTATTCTCTGGCTCTTTACAGAAAAGGTTTGCCAAAGCCTCTAGAAGATTTATTGTTTCACCTTTCACATTTGGAATTGATATTTGTGTATAGTGTGTGGTAAGGATCAAGATTTTTTTTTTCTATATGAATATCTAATTAAACAAGTGTCATTTATTAAAAGATTATCTTTTCCCCATGATTCCCTATGTCATAAATCAAATCAAATATACATATATGCATGGATCTGTTTCCAGGTTTTCAATACTTTTTATTGGTCAATTTTTCTGTTTCATGACCAATGCCACTCTGTTTTACTTGGTGCACTTTTAAAAATGAGCCTTGATATCTTCCCGGTTCATTTCTCATCAAGATTGTCTCTGTTACTGTTAAGACTTGACATATCTGTATTAGTTTTAGAATCAGCCTATCAATTTCCTCAAAACACCTTCCTGGGATTTAGATTGGCATTATATTGATTCTGTAGATCAATTTGGAGAGGTTGGACTTATTTACGATGATGTTCCTTCCAGTTCATAAAAGTGATATATTTTTAATTTATTTAGATCTTCTCAATTTATTTCAATAATATTTAGACCTGCCTTTGATATCCTGTAGGTATTTTGATAGGTTTATCTCTAAGTATCTTTGACGCTACGATAATTTATGTCAACACTAGCTTTTGTGTAAAAAAAAAAACCTACTAACTAGTCACCTACTCACATGGTTTAGCTCTGTGTCCCAAAGCAAATCTCATGGTAAATTGTAATCCCCATTGTTGTCGGAGGGGACTTGTGGGAGGTGATTGGCTCCTGGGGGCAGATTTTCCCCTTGTTACTCTCATGACAGTGAGTTCTCAGTCATGTAGTCGTTTAGAAGGGTATGGGACCTCCTCCTTCTTTCTCTTCCTCCTTCTCTGGCCATGTAAGATGTACCTCCTTCCTCTTCACCTTCCACTGGTAATTGTCGGTTTCCTGAGACCTCTGCAGCCATACTTCCTGTGCAGCCTGCAGAATCAGGAGCCAATTAAACCTCTTTTCTTTGTAAATCACCCAGTCTCAGGTAGCTCTTTACAGCAATGTGAAAACAGATAATACACCCAGCAAATGCCATGCTGTAGTGGAAATACTGTGGAGACCTAAAACAATATTACATGTTCTAAGAAATAAAAATTGTTGGGTGGTAAAGGGAAGTGACAAGCCTGGCAGAAAAAACATCACCACACAGAGCACATGCATATAAACATACTCAGTTAAGTCTCTATCTCTTCTGTGGGTTGAGAATGCCTACTGGTATTGGCTCACATGGACTTGTTCTCTTAAGACGCCATGACAGAATGGAAAGAGTGTTGGTGGAATGTCAGGACTCCTGAATCCTAAGCTTGGTTCTTCACAGACTAGTGAAATTTCAGGCATAGCTCTACTTAACCTCCTTAGATCTCAGTTTTTACACCTCTAAAAAGTGAATTGGTGCTAACATTGACTTGTAAATAAGGAAAGGGAACCATTTGGTTCCAGGTGAGTTTTGACATAGAGATGTCCTGGGTATGATTTGGGGGGGGGGGGGGGGGGGCCTGCCTGCAAAGAGATTTCTTAAAGAAAAGCAATCTCCCCACTAATTTGTGAATACTTAGCAGTTTGACAGAAACAAATGTCTCTGAGAGAGGGGATCCCTGAGGTGAGCAAGCAGAGGAATAACAGGTGCAAGAAGAGGTCACAAGGATCAGGCACAGGGGCCTCACCTGAAGTACGTTCAGAGGTGGAGGAGGTTCAGGAGAAAGCATGGAGGCAGAAGCGCAACGAAGCTGGCAGTGCCCATGCAGGGACTTCCCTTTGAATCGTGAAAATTTCACAGAAGAGATGACTTAGGATTCTGCCTTAAAAGTCTTTAAAGAAAGAGTTGCAATCAATGAACAAAAAGTGCTGCCATTTCTGTTTGTGTCTAACAGTGGCGATGAGGCATGGGTAGAGCAGCAAAGGCTGTTTGTCAAAATCCATGGTCCTCCTCACCTAGTAAAATATTCGTCCTGAAATCTCTCCTGATCTTTGATCTCTGATCTTTGCTGCCCAATCAGAGACTCCATTCCCAGCACACTGGTGCCTCTGGGTTGGGCCAGTAGAATATACAAAATTAATATTCGTTACCTCTGAACCGCTATGATTAAGAAGCATGTGTGCCTTCTCCATCTTTTTTTTCTCTTTCCACAGCTAGAACCTGAGGACTCCAAGTTCCCAGGAGATAGTGGAGCTGTGAGATGTAAGTAGCCTGTCTTAGCTTTGTGTTGCTACAACGGAATACCTGGGACTGGATAATTAATTAAAAACTGAAATTTATTTCTCATAGTTCTGGAGGCTGGAAAGTCCAAGATGGATGCACCAGCATGTTAATTGCTCAGTGAGGGTCTAGTCTCTGCTTCCAAGATGGTGCCTTCAATACTGCAACCTCTAGAGGGAAGAAGAGATGTGTCCTCACATGGTGGATGGCAGAAGGGCAAAAAGGGATGAACTTCTTCTATCAAGACCTATTATAAGGACATCTAATCTCACTCATGAGAGTGGAACCCTTATGTCCTAATCACCTCTTCAAGGCCCTACCTTTGAATACTATCACACTGGCAACACCTGAATTTTGGTTGGATACATTCAAGCCATAGCAGAGCTTTGATCCTTGAGTTATCTCATTGAGAAAAGTTGTGTGCCCACCAGGAATACTTGCATCAGACTGTTCTGTGGATGGGAAATAAAATTCTGCTGTGTTAAGTCACTAAAGTGTGAGGTTTATTTGTTACAGCAGCCAATGTTAACCTAAATAATGCAGTTTGTTTCTGAAACAATTCACAGTGTTGACAGTAAAGGAATAAAAGCACAATGTTGTTATATTACTGCCATTTCACCTAGGAAAAGAGAAAATGTGAAAAGAGGATCACTAAAAAAAAAGTTTCCCTAAACTTTTTTAAGTCACTGGAGAATGTTCCCAATTTATATAAAAATAGGATGATAATGATGTCAACACATAATTTCTATGCCTAATAGATTTGCACTCCCCCAAGTTGCATTTTAATTTCCCTAAATTGGCTCATGACATATTCTTATGTGGGATTCAACATTTAGCAACAAATAAGACTTCCTGCTCTCTTGGCACTTCTTACTCCTCCCTTTACCCCACGCATCCATATCCCTGCTGCCTTCTCCTTCCCACAAAGCTCATTTTTGGCAAAAAGGTTTTTATAAACCACACATTTTAATGAATTAAGTGTAGTCCCACAATCACACTTACATTCTCCTACAGTCCCCTGACTTCCACACTCCTCCAGCTATGGGAATTTTCCATCACACCTCCAGAAAGGAAAAAAAAATTTGTCTATAAGTGGAAAAGTTATGCACAGAATGTGATGGTTCTCCCATTTTTCTTTTTCTTTCTTTTTTTTTTTAATGCAAGAAGGAAGATGATTTTCAAACACTGCACGTCCTCTGAGAAACTAAAATATTCAGTGCTGTTTTTCTTTTGGCAGTAGCATAATTGGTTGTGATCATAAACCCACATAGTTCCTTTTATCCTTTTTAGTGGCAGCTTCACGGACTGTCTTCTACCGTGTAAAAGAAGAGGGTTGGGGTGTTTGACAGCAAAGAAATTTAGGAGACATTCAGAGCAAAAAGGAGCTTGTACATCATAATTTCCAACCTTCTTATTTTACTGCTGAGGATACTGAGGTTCATAGGTGGTTTAACTTGTGCAGAGTCATGGGGTTAGCCAATAGCTTCTGCATTGGTTGGCCAATACCCAACTCGAACAGTTTATATCACATAAAGTTTCAATCACACAATCTTCTTGGATCACTGCAACCACCGCATGATGGTACTGGAACCACCTTCTGCTGGAGAAGTGGGAAGATGTAAGAATGCTCATCAGAGTGGCAGCTCTTAGAATTCAGTTCCTGATTACTGAGTCCGTGTTCTCAACTCCACCTAGCAATTTTTTTCTATTATTTGTGGCGGCACCAACAAAGCATTAGGCACTTTGCCAGGGTCTGGAGTTACCTAGACAAAGGGCATAATCTGTGCTCTCCAAGAGCATACAGTTTAGTGAGGGCAGATATGATTCCCATCCAGTATGATCAATGCTTCCATCCTTTGCACTTGTCATGCAGTCATTTAAGAAGCAATGGTTGCATTTCCCAAGAAAAAACAGCAGTGGTAGCAGCAGCAGTGGCAGCAGCAGCAGCAGCGGCAGCCGATGGCTGACTCACCAAACGAGGAGGCACCAACAGCTTTGCCTCCAAACTAAGGAACATCTTACTCAAATTCCCTCCCACCCCTGATCACCACCTGTAGGCTTGGAACCAATAAAGGCTTTGGAAATGAAAGATAATGTGCTAATAGGATGTTAAAACAAAACCACTCTCACCACCCACCACCAGAGGTAGTTTGTGTAAAGGCGTTATTCCCCAGCCTCGCGCTTCATTTCATGACTCCAACTTGTGGCACTTAGCTTGGTTTGCAAGTGTTGCTTATCCAGAAAGCTCAGAGATTGCTTTTGGCAAAGGACTCGAAGTAGGCAGATCCAACCCCTCTCGCTGTCTCTTTCTTGTTGCCAAAACATAAGACTCTTAGTTTGATGGAAAACTAGTGTGAATTTTGCATCCAAGGAATAACCTGAGATTACAGTTAAAATTAAGTAGTAGAGGAAGGTTGGGAATTAGAAAAATTAAGATCTGGTCTTGAAAATTAATATTGTGTATACCATACATACTCTGTATACCATACTATTAATACTGTGTATTAATTGTAACTCTTGAACAAGGTTATTCACCACTTGGTTTTAGTTTTTTCATCTTTGAAACAAGAAGAGTGAACTAAATTTTTTCTAAAGTCTCCAACAATTCTGGCACTATATACATTCATAATTTTGTTAGTTAATTTTAGAGAATATTTATTGAGTTCAGTTACCATTAGTTATGTGCCAGTCACTGTGATACACACTGGAAAAAGAGGTGAAAGGCCCAACTCCCTTTCACATAGCAGAAAGACTAGCTAGGGAGTGGAGTAGTTAAAATTTAGCAGCAGGCATGGGGTTGAAGAAGTGCGTACAGGAAGCTGTGGTGCACAGCTGGGCACCTCCAGATTCACTTGATCTTTCTCCGCTGATAGGAATCAGAACATGCCAGTCTAATATAGGCAACTTTAATGTATTGATTATTTTGAGCTGAATGAACAACAGATGTAGGAAAGGCTCTCTGATCTCTTTCTATGCAAAAGCTGGCACAGATTTCCTACAAGAGAGTTGCCTGCCCTTCCCTTTACCAAGAAGAAGAGAACATTCTTATTACTGAACACAGAGAGTCAATGTCAAGATGAATCTGTACAAACAAACCTACTAAAATAAGCTTTATCTTTCACTAGTTTCCCCAGTATTTCCTAGTCACTTTCACATAGTCTGCTACTCCAGCCCAAACTCCTTTTGCTTCTGTGTTGTCACATCTCCACAGATGATTATTTTTTGTTCAAATGGTATACACCTGGTCAGGCCTCTTCATTTCTTCTTTCTATGAAGGCTTCTGTGCCATGCAAAAATATTAACATCAAATAAAATGTATATGCTTTTCTCCTGTTAATCTGTCCTTTGTCAGTTTAATTCTCAGGCCCAGCTGCAGAACCTAAGAGGGTAGAGGACAAATCGTTCCTCCCTTACACCACCTTTGCTCTTCCCTGGGAGATTGGTCTACATGGACCACGTCAACAAGAGTCCTGGGCCATCTGGTTTCTCATTGGATTCCACTGATGGACAGCACTTTAGGAGACTGGGGGAGAGAGGAGAGGCAGCTCTGGAGTATTTCTTTCTCTCCCTGGGAGGATGACTTCATCAAATGTCACTGCTCAGCCCAAACTCACCTACTATCTCCCTTGCTTTCTCCCTTATCACCTATGAATAATGAGAGCACCACTGCTGCTGCTAGTCCAGAGTGTCTAACCAGTTCCTGCAGCGTCACTTAACTACACCCACAACTTTATAATTAGTTCCTTGTAAATAAACTTTCCTCATATTTAGATTGATCAGAGGGTGTCATCTGTTTTCTGTTGAGACCCTGGATGGTGTAGGCATGAAACCTGCTTTTGAGACGTGTGTATATTGGAGGTAGAGAAGGAGCAGTTGGTTAAAGGGAAAGAAGGGGCAGGAGAAGGGGGAAAGTGTCTCAGAGGAAAACAGAGCTAAATCTTGAAAGATGTACTGAAAAAACACAATGTCTTGAAAGAAATAAGGAGAAGGGAGAAATAATTTTACAGAGAAGCACGTGGAAGCTCAGAGGCTTGAAAGTGTCCTGGGGAAGGTGCAAATGTTCAAGGTGACTGCAGGGAAGGACTGGCAGGTGGGAGGATGGTAGGTGATGAGGCTGGAGGGGAGGTAAGGGAGAGATTATGAAGGACTCTGTGTTCCGTGAATGAGCTTGGGTTCTATCCTGAAGACAATGGGAAATTATTGAAAGATTTTTAAGCAGAAAAGTAACAAAATCTGGTTGGAATGTCGAAAGATCCCTCTGGTATGTAGTGTGGGAAGAAGCAGAACTGGAAACAGGTTGACATGTTTTTTCAATGACCAAGGCAAGAATCAACGACAATATGAAATTTTGCAGTGATGGTAGGGCAGCAGGAGGTATGTATGGAAACTATTGAGGAACAGAGAGAATTTGGTGATAAATTTGGTACAGTGGTAAGTCTGAAATGATGCCCAGATGCTTGGGTTGGGCCAGTTAATAGATGGTGGAATCATTCATAAACAGAGGGGATCCTACAGGGAGAACTGTATTAGTCTGTTCTCATATAAAAAAAATACCGGAAACTGGGTAATTTATATTAAAAAAAAAAAAGAGGTTTAACTGCCTCACAGTTCCACAGGCTATACAGGAAGCATGACGGCATCTGCTTCTGGGGAGGCCTCAGGAAACTTACAGTCGTGGTAGAAGGCAGAGAGGGAGCCAACACTACATGGCCAGAGCAGGAGAAAGAGAGAAAGAGGGAAGAGGAGCTACACACTTTTAAACAACCAGATCTCATGATAACTCACTCACCCACTATCACGGAAACAGCACTGAGGGGGTGGTGTAATCTGTCCATGAGCACTCTGCCTCCATGATCCAGTCACCTCCCAACGGGCCCTACTTCCAACTCTGGGGGTTAGAATGCAACATAAGATTTGATGGGGACACAGGTTCAAGCCATATCAAGAACCAGACACAATTCATTCTTCATTAGGTTTTTTTTTCCAGTACCCACAGGAACTCCCCAGATCACTGGCTTTTTTTCAGCATTCAGCTTGCATATTGCCTTTTAATGGCCTCTGCTGTTATGACCCAGCAAGTGGGGATGAAAGCAGTTCCCTCTTCATATGTAAGAATTAATGAGTGAATACATGCACAGTTCCAGGCACAGAGTAAACATTGAATAGAGGTTACTATGAAAACCAGGGTGTAAACTCCATCCAAAATATGGTTCTAAAACACTAAATCCTTTCTAAGTGCCTACTTTGTGCCTTTTATTGTTTAGTCCTTATGTGGGCAACTGCCAAAAAGCTGTGAGAAAGGACTTTTGCTATTTAAATCATTTCTTCTCTTTCTTTTTATTCTTCTCCATTTCTTTTTCTATTCTCCCCTCTTCTCCTCCTCTTTCTCCTCCTTCATTTTCTTTGGTTTTCTTTTCCCTATATGCATACAGCTTTTGTCTCGGAGAAAAAAAAGTCTAGAGAGCTAGATTTTTAGAGAGTATTAA